CTTCCTCTCTGTAGGTAAGGGACATCTTGTAGTTTAGTGGGCCTCACTCTTTGGTATAGCCCAGAAGTAGGAAGTGGAAAGAAGGTGTAAAGTTTGAGGAGGGTTTAGGTGAAGGTGAAGTGAAAAGATGGATAGGAAAGGTAAAAGGAAAGTTGTGTTCCATGGGTTCCCATGGCGTCTGCACCGCATTTATTAAAAATAAATTAACAATGTACAAAATAGCAAATATATACAATGATAACAACAATGATAGCTACAAATAAACGTATGAACATTGAAGACAATGGTGCCGTGCACAAAGAAGCATACCCACAACTTGTGGGTTGCATGATACCTGTACATATGAACAACCCATTCATAGTCCACAAAACAAATGTCCTGTTTGGCAGCTTGTGGATCGGAAAGTCCTATATTAACATAGATACCGTTGACACCTTTGTGAGTATGATGTGATACTTCTGTCCATGCACTTAAAGTGTCCTAGAAGGAGAAGATCAGTTAAGTATGTTGATGCTTTTAGCAAAGTCATTGAATGCTTTATATAATTTCTTATTATTAATAAAGCTTTTAAGTTGGCATGGCCAAAGTTCGTTTTCTTCGTTAACCCTGTCTATTAATGTTTTCCTTTGATTCCTGAAGTTTGGACAAAGATAAATGATGTGTTCTGGTGTGTCTGCTTCCTGTAAGAGACATTGACATATACCGTCTGTCTTCTTCAGAAACCTTTTTAGGTAATTTCTGAAGTTGCCATGTCCTGTCAACAGTTGTGTAGTGTTGAAGTTAGGCAAGAAAAATCTGTTTTCATTTCGGTGTTGTACATCTGGAATGTAGTCATGTGTTATTCTGCCTGTGGTACCCTCATCCCACCTTTTCTGCCATCTATACCAGATGTGTTCCCTAATTTTCTTTTTTAACCAGGTGACAGGAGTGTAGTTATAATAGCAGATGTTTGTTCCTTTGGTGGCAGTGCGGGCCAGAAGGTCCGCCCTTTCGTTTCCTTGTATGTTTGCATGTCCTTTTATCCAATTTAGATTAATAGTTATTTTCCGTTTAAGTTGTTTAAGAATGTTGATGCTTTCCCTTACCACAACCAGTTTGATGTTCAACTTTTTAATCTGAAGTAGTGCCACTCTACTGTCACTGAGAATCGTGACCCTGGTGATGTTATATTTCTGTCTGTTTTCATTAATCCATTTAAGAGCCCTAAATATTGCAAATGATTCCGCTTGATTTGCTGTGCAATGGTTCTCTAGTTTGAATCTGGCTTGATAGATGTTTTTGTCGTTATTTTTCACTACAATTGAACTGCCCACTCCTGTTTCTGACTTTGACCCGTCCGTAAAAATGCAATACCCGTTTGGTATTGTGCTGTCATTCATATTGAAGAGTTCATCTATCGAAAAACTTGGGTGAAATGCATGTTCCTGTGGTTCATTATCCAGTTTAAAATTGTGAATGTAATCAGCTATGGTCTTTGCTTCTTCTCTGACTCCTATTTTCTCCGTATCTCTATAAAATGTTTCACTGTTGATGTTACCCGATGATAGTTTTAATTGTAGAAAATGCCATACCTTTTCAGTGATTATAAGATCGATTGGAAGAAGATTTGCTATTGTGAGGATGGCGTCGGTAGGAGCTGTCCTATATGATTTTGTTATCGATATTGCAGACATGCGTTGAGCAGAAAGGAGTTTCCTTTTAATGTGAGTTTTTGGAACCGATTCCCCCCAGATCTCACAGCCATAAGTGATCATCGGTTCTATTACAGCAGTGTAGAGTAATCTACAAGCTTTACTATCGTATCCCCGTAGGTAAGGGACACCTTGTAGATAGAGTTCATGTACTTCTTCATTGGGAGATCGATATGTGCACAAATATAAAATTATCTTTACTAAGTTCAGACTCGGGACTTAGTCTATGGGACTCGTTTAAGGGCGTTGGTCATCAGGAGGAAAAACGTATGGAGTTTGACGCTTCGGATCTGTCGAAGAACTCCTCGAATTCGGACTAAATTCCCTTATATCTCAAGATTTTCTTCCAATCATCTGCTTGAACTTCGTTCATGTGAGCGGATGAAAGGGGAATTAAAGAGGGGTCGATAGTTCCCATCTGAGTGAGATTTTTAACCAGATAAGGGAAAGTCAGAGGATGTTCTCTTCTGTGAAAGGAAGTAGCATCTGTTATCTGGTTTTTTTCCATGTTAAAACAGTATTTTTTCACAAAAATGAAGTAATATTTTGTGTCGATATTTTACCATTATTAATAAAAATTATTAAATTAGACCCAGGGCCTTTCGGGTCTCACACTANTGTGAAAGGAAGTAGCATCTGTTATCTGGTTTTTTTCCATGTTAAAACAGTATTTTTTCACAAAAATGAAGTAATATTTTGTGTCGATATTTTACCATTATTAATAAAAATTATTAAATTAGACCCAGGGCCTTTCGGGTCTCACACTTTAATTTATAGGAATAATTTTAAAATGGTTTACTTTTACTTAAATAAATTACTACGATTATTTATTTTTTTTGAACGAATTTTAACTTCATACTTGATCTTTATGTACCTCTAAACCAAATCATACACAATAGATCATTTTAATAGTGGGATTAGTATTTTAAATTTACGTGCACAGATAATAAATAACAGAAAATTCATACAGTACTTTGTTACAGATATTATTCATAAAAACATCGAGAAAGGATGAAATTTATAATTAAGATAAGTCAGAATATTCTTTGAATTTGTGACATGCATTTAATATAGTTAGATGAAACAATAAAATTAACTAAGTTTTGTATACCTCTGAAAGAGAAATTTTCACAAATCTTGCTTAACAAATTATAAAGTTTAAATGTAAAAGTTGTTGAACAATTTTAAATAAAGAATATTCTCCATAGATTAAAAAAAAATCTGATAAGAGTAATGTTATAGTTAGAATTGACAGTTTGTGCTTTTGAATGTCAGTTCGAAATCTGTGTTAAGAAACAATACTTTTCAAATTTACAGAAATTTCCTGTATCCAGTTCCATAATAGATATATCTGTAAATATGTTTAATCAAATTTGTATGACCATTTTTCAAATTAAAAGTATAGAATTCTTGTATAAATTATTTAACAATCAATAATACTGTAAGTATTTAAATTCCTTTGAATATGATAGTTATATATGTTTTAAATAAGAATTTCCATACATTTCATCGTGGAAATTGTTTATCAATATGTGTCAGGAAAAAGTGTGTTACATTTGTACTGTAATGTTTTCATAGTAAACTATTTTTTTAATCCTTTTTATTTACCCATACTAATGAATAATTTTATTTTTCATACTAATGAATAACTATTTCTAGATGCCTTGTATGTGCAGTATACCTGGTTGCGTAGAAAAATACTGTATATATTTAGTGTCTATATTTAAGTTTCCACAGGATTTGATTTGAAAAGCAAACCAATGGATTAGAGAATTTGTAGAAAAAATAACTTATTATTTTAAACGTTTTAACAATTATGCATTAAAAAGTATGAATTATGTTTAGGTGAAAATATATATTAAATTGTTAACTAATCTGCATTACCACTTAGCATATTCTGTTGTAATATATATATATAAAACATTAAATACAAGTTTCTGTAAGGTTAAAAATACTGTCTAATAAATAATGTTAAAAAAACTTAATTTATATTTGTTGNTTGACTTTAGTATAAAGTTACACTGGTTGTATAGTTAACGTAATGAAGTAATACAGTTGAAGATGGCCCATCATTCAAGTCAAAATGTTAGTATTTCTCCAACCTTAATCACTAATAAATGTGTTGATTATTTTATTTTTAAAGTAAATGTACAAAAAAGCTTAAAAAATACAAAACAGATAAAAAGTTACTTCTTGATGTTTAAATGTCTCAACATTAAAATCTTAAATTTATTGCAAAATGTTCAATTAATGTGATAAACATTAAGTCGATACATACAATTGAGCTAGTGAAATTATAACAAATTAAAGATTAGTGCTTTTTATCCACTTTTAGGTGAAATGACTATTTTTATTTATATACTTTTATTATGCTATTGTATTCTGGTAGAAGCTAATGCCATTGGAGCATGCTGCTAGTTACAAATGTAGACAGTATAAATGGAAGACCTTATAGTAAAACAGTAATACTTCCATGATTGTACATAAAAAATACTATTGTATTAGGAACTAATGACAAGATACAATACGTTTAATTTGAAATACATTTTTCTTTGACAAAAATGAAAATTGTTTATGTAATGCCATTAAAGCATACAGTATATTCTAATCTTTGACTCACAAGTCATTCCATTTACAGTAAAGTATGCAAGATATTTAATTAATCCTGCATGCAATAGTCATTCTATTTACAGTAATTCATTTTCCTTACACCAAAATAAACTTGTAAATTACTTAATGAGCAATTTCTTCAGTATAATCAGCTTTCTTTTCATTACTTTTCAAGTTTCAAGATTTATTATGAAATATTTTAATAGATTTTGCAGAATTATCTTTATTTAAAACAAATTGATATTAATACAAATATCATTTATAGATGGTAGAACTTTTCACTCAATCTACTTGATAAAATAAAAATCAAATATGATATTAAATTGAAAACATTCAATTGGATTTACTATCTGTAAATACAAACAAAATGTAAATGTGCTAGTATACATGATCATTATCAGTATGGATTTCTAAAACACTTTCTCCTTTATTCTGCATCATTTTCTGAATGTTTTCCTTTTGTGCTTCACTAGGTTTTTTCATAGAATATCCTGAATCTCTCTTCTTGGATTTTTGTTTAGTTGATTTGTATCTAGTTTGCTTTGTAATATTTTTTTGCAATTTGTAATTTTTATTTGCAGGTATATTGTTGCAGGTAGTGCCTGAATTATTGTTAAATGAGGATTCCACTAAAATTTTTCTCAACCAATCTCACATATTTGTATTTCATCCAATTTTCTTTTTTTCACTATTGCATGAACTGCATTTAAGTTTTTTCCAATTCACAATATTCAGATGATTGATCAATAGTTTTAGTTTCCTTACTTATGCATACACGGTAATTTTCTACACTCTTAAAAAGTGTATTTGGATCATCAGCCAAAATGTCACAAGATAATTCATTTGCTGCATTCCTGTTAGAGGTTTCTTTTTCTGTTTTGATTACTGCATGGATGTGCTTACACATGTTTAAACTCACTTCGTAATCCAGACATGTACATGAATACATATGCACGCACACATTGCATATGTTACATAACAACTTGCATCTAGTATGATCTTCAATGTTCTCATTTTTTTTTTCCACCACATATATACAATTTGTTATGCTTTGTGATTTTACTTGCCATTGTATACTGTCAATGACGTTGGTAATATCACAAAATGCTATTGCTTCACTTTCTTTGTAACTTTTATGTATTTTTGCTTGCCTGTGTGAAATAGTCCCCTTGCACATCTTTATGATGCGTTCAAACAATTTGTCACGAGTCATCTTTAACAACACATCAATACAATGGTCCACCCTCTTGTTCACTTTACCTTCCAAATAACAATGTTTTAAAACTCTATGCATGGCCTCCAAATACATGTTTGTGTTTATGCCAAGACCCTTTCTATAACAGTATGCCCACACTTTAAAATGGGAAGCATAAGTATGAACAAAATACTTTTGAAATTCTTCAGTTTCTTTTTTGTTTAATGATTGAATGAATTCCTTTATCAGATTTTCAAATTTTTCTGGATTTGGTTCTTCAAGAAGAACTCGTAGCATCTTGTATATAAGTGCTTGTGTAACCTTATCAGGGAAAGATGAGATAACTTTTTTACGCCAGGCACTATCTACATGCCATGTGCACAATAACTGATGTGTAGCTGGAACCATAATATCTTTCCATGCATTGTAAATTGCAGATGCATCATCAGACATAAAAACAATGGTTTCCAGTTTTCCAAGCTTTTCTCTGACAGCAGCAAAAAACAAAGAATACGTGGTTGTGTCTATTCGATTGCTTAAGCAGTATGCACATGGTAGACCACTTCCAAATTCATCAACTGTTAATATAGTACTAACATAAAAATCATATGCAGTAGTGCCATGAGTGAAGTCCACACAGATCATCTGCTGTCCTAGCATCTTTAATAATTCTTGTTGTATTGGTAACATGATTATCAAAATAAAATCTTCTTTGCCAAGTTTCTGTTGAGCATCAACTTCCCCTTGTAAGGAACCAAGTCCGAGCATTATTTTTAGTTACTTTTATTTTGCTTTTATTATATTTTTGTTTGGGGCTTATGTTTAGTTAGGACGAAGGTTTCCTCACCCGTCACCTTAGAAAGTTAAAAAAGAGAAGATAAAACCAACTCACTGACGAAGAAAAGAAAACGCCATAGCTAACATTTGCACTCATGTGCACGCCCGAGCAGCAGATAGTAAGTCCGCACTGAAGAGGGGGAACCCCACAAACTTAGGAACTTGTTAAACCTTAAAAAGAAGGAAACATCCCGATAATTGTTAAACAAAATAATCTACAAGGTTAACAAAGTATTGTTGGGAATTAAGCTACCAGATAAACAAGAGAAAAGTGAATGTTACATGTAAGTATGTAAATGAGGGGAGTGTCACACTTAGAAATTGTGACGTCACCTCAGACTATAAAAAGCGTACCTCAAGTGAAGACAGGAGAAGTGAGCTCCTGCAAAGAACAAGCGTTGGTGTGCTTAGTAGCAGTGAACGAGAGGTGTCCAATAGGAAAATAGTCCAAGGCGATTGAAGTATTCAATTTGTGGATCGAGGATAGACAAAGTCTTGAGTTGAGAAAAAGGTTCCTAGTATAATTGAGGTGACGGTTAGGATTTGTAGTTATAAGATATTTTGTACCTAAGTTAAGGATTGATTTTGTCGGAATTCCAAGGGAAATAGTTTTAAGTTAGATTGAGATTGAGTTTTGTCGGGTTGACTGTTGATTGATTTTATTTGAATAAATTTGTTGATTTGTTGTAAATATTGTACATAGTTATTTATCGAACTTGATTAAACATTTTTATTGGTTTTTTACTAAATTGGTCCTTAATTTACTCCGGTGCACACAAACAGTCCAGGCCTGGCAACAATAAACACAAATCCGCGTAAAGTACCCGTTAGGTAACGGCTCTTTCCGGTACAAGAATTGTTGTAGAGCGATAAGATAAAATATAGTACTTTACACCCTTGCTGTTTAAAATATAAAACTGGAGACTGTTCTAATGTTTTCATTTTATCCACCCATAGCTGCACACTGATCTTATCTTCAGGATGATATTTCTTCTTTTCCTGAATGTTGTATGCAAACTTGATATTTTGCAAATCTTTTCTTGTCACAAGATGAATGCGGGTAAGTTCATTACTTGCAGAATCACGAATATCATCTAAGATTCTCTGCAGGGTGACACACCATTAGCAAGTTTTCCTAAAAAGTAAAGTATTGATAATTAATAATTTATTACTTTTTCCAAATCAACCAGTAAAATACACTTTACCTGCAATAACTGCTTTTTCACTATCAGACAAATGGATGTGTGCAAGACTGAGATTGTGTCCACAGTGGTTTTTATGGTATTTAACTACTATNTAAAAAGTAAAGTATTGATAATTAATAATTTATTACTTTTTCCAAATCAACCAGTAAAATACACTTTACCTGCAATAACTGCTTTTTCACTATCAGACAAATGGATGTGTGCAAGACTGAGATTGTGTCCACAGTGGTTTTTATGGTATTTAACTACTATTGAATTTGATCTAATAAACACCTCAATAGAAGCAAGACGTATCTTTCCACTTTTGCAAGATCCCTGTGATTTTATTTGACGTTTCCCACATCCTTTTGGAACATAATTTCCTGAGCAATGACATGTATAGATTTTTTTTAATTCTGCCATCAGAAAGTGTTGTTGGACCATTACATGATATAAAAGATGATTTTAGCAACTTCTCTTCTTTATCTTTCCAGACAAAAAATTCTAGTGAGAAAAAGTACAATATTAATTAGTTTCTCAGATGAATAACTTTTATACATTTCTTTTTTGTAACTTAATAATAGCAATTACAATAAGCTGTTTATTTCTTCCAATTAAACAAAGACACTCCACAAAAAGTTTACTTTTAGGAAAACAAGTAAGAACAGTTATTTACACTAAGTCTTGCAACTACACATAAAACACAACTTATAAAAATCCAAACCAGCTAAAAACTAAATATCAGATATAAATTAACTAAACGTAACTTCTACCCAAAAACTAGTATTCTATTCATTGTTATACAGTGTTTAATCTTAATATTTGTCGTACTACAAAACTTTATCTGTTAATTTAAATACACTTTTAACATGACATGTTTCAGATATACCATTAATTTAAGAATCAGCTATACTGAGAACTACTTTAAAAACACTAAAATTATGGTTTAACAGTTAAAACTTACCTGACATATCATTAAACGTTAGGTGTTCTTCACATTCTTTATAGCTGTGTTTTTCAATACAGTGCTGTCTTAAACTTTTAATTGAGACACATGCCAGGTTCAAACATTCTTCACTTACAGAAAATGGACATGGCAAATTTTTTCCTAATTGACATGTCACAACATTGTGTAAAAGACATTGATGTCTAATTAAGCTTTTCTTTGCCTTGTACTCTTTGTCACAAATGTTGCAAGGAAACATTTCCAATGCACACTTATTTAAATTTATATCTGAAAAGAAAACTCACAAGTGAAAAAGCAATTTACAAATAACTGTTCCCTCTCACAACAACATGAGGTCTAGGCTAATTGACCAGCATTTCCTATTTCAGTGGGTTGACGTCATTCAGCTGACCAATCAGCGCGTTGTGCCATCTGGATCTCTAGCCGCACGTAGTTCAAAGCTGCTTTATCTTCGCTGCAGCGATCCCTTGCAGCAAATGTTTAAAAACGGTTCGCTACATTGCAGTGCAGCATTTACAAACATTTTCAGAGTGTTCGCTGTAAAGTGCTTCTCGAGTGCTGCATAAAAAAAACGCGGCCATTCGGACTCGAGTGAGGAAGAAGGTGAGTGGAGCTTCAGGTGTGATTTGGCAGCGTACGTGAGACAAAGAGAGAGTCTCAGAGATGGACAAAGAAATATCCGTGATAGACTCACAGAAATTAAAAACGAATCTTCGCATCGTAACCGCTGACAGTCGTGTCACTCGAAGGAAAAAAGGGAGATCCTTCCAACTTTTCATAAGACCCTCATTAAGGATATTGCAAAAAAAAAAAAACCATCTTCGAAGGCCTCACAGACTAGCATTGGGTACCCCTTTTCTGATTTCTAACTTTCCTTTACCTTGTAGGGCAGAGGGCGCCACCGCTTGACCTTTCCCCTCTGACCTCACTTGGTCCTCGGACACCAATCTGGAGAGACGCTTTCGTATGCCGACCTTCGCTTTTGTTACGCCAATCTTTCGGAGTCAGCTTCGACGACGAATTGTACAGTTATTCAACTTAGGCCTTTGTAAATAGCCCGTAGTCGTGGGGAAATAAAATATGGTATTTCCAAGGAATCAGTCTCCTCATTAATCTTGTCCAACGAACAAAGGACGTGGAACACGTGGGCGAGATCGGAACTACTATCACACGAGGTAGGATAAAATTCGGATCTATTCTATCGAAACGCCTCGACGGATTTTAGCTCCATCGCTAAAACCTATCCCCTATTTTCTTATTTTAGTTTAATATTAGTTTTAAGTCTTATTTGTTATTAGCGTTTAAGATAGTTTTCGATTTTCTCGCGATGAATTTTAATAATGGTTCTTTATGCCGCATACTATAATTCGGGATTTTGTTTGTGTAACCTTGTTTGCGAATCTGATTGTTTCTAACTGTTGGGACATGAAATTAGCACTGGCATCTTAAAGAAGCCTGTAATTGTTTCTAGCCTTAATTAAAGTTTTCCTTTTTTGTACTTTGGTTCCACGAGTCTTCATTAAAGAAGAAAACCATATACTTTCACAGATACAAAGACGTCGATTTGAAGGAAAATCGGTGGAAGTTGATTGCCGAGGAAATTAATTTGACAGGTAAGTAAAGTTTGCATAAGATAGGCCTAATTCGGTGTAAAATGAACAGTCAACTTTGAAGCACGTGCATTTGTATATTATTTCTTATGTAAATAAATGATTTAGGTTATTAATAAGAATTTTTGGGCTTTAAACATATAAAACTTGCTAAATATGACTCAATTTATATTTAATGATATGAAAAAAAATATCAATAACTTGAATACCAAAGAGTTTAGGCAATATTTTGATAGAAATAGATTTATATAATAAAACATTCTAAAAATATTTAATAGGTGATAGTTAATAATAACAAATATGATTATCAAATATTGAGGGGTGGCTTTTTGTAATAATAATTTGTAAATTAAATTAATCAGCTGCAGTCCTTCAAGAATACACTTAAAAAAACCTTTTAAGTAGAATTTAAGACAGATTTAACAATAAGTTTACAAACCTAGCATACATAAATCATTAAAAACAAAAATACCCATACAAAGTACAGAATGGCAAAATATCACTGTATATTGAATGAATGTCTTGTAAAAGCTTAATTGTATTTTATCAAGTATTAAGAAACAATGCTGTTAATTTTAAATGATTATTATTTATAAATATTTTAACATGGAATTTTGTTTTCTGTTGTTATTATTTTGAATTGAAGAAGTAAAGTAAAAATGGAAGAATCTTGTAGATATTTACAGGAAAGAAAATAAAAATTATAGATGAAAAAACTAGATGTGGTACTGGCGTGGACGACCTCCACAATTGTAAATGGAAATGGTTTCCACAAATGCACCTTCTAACGAATATATTCAATAGACAGGATGAACAATTTTCACAGTATGTAACAGAAATATATTATTAAATATTATAATGAATGGTGGGTACTTGTGAATCTTTATCCCAGATGGTGGCGCCGCCCTGGCGACCAACATCTCAACTAGTACCTGTATCCCCTCGAAACAAATTAACTCGGCTGGCTAACCTACCAACACACGTGTTATCAACTTAGTTTTGTTATTTTAACGTTGTTAATTAAAACTTTGCAATAATTTTAAGAAAAAGTTAACAAACAATTAAATTAGTTTAAATTATCGTTTATTTTAAAGTATATTACATGTCTACATAGCTGTTTACATAATTCCATATTACTGGCATATAGTTTGCGGCTGCCATATTTCCGCGATTGCTTTTAATATGTTTTCAAAAGCATTTCCTTGTCCCAATGACTTTTTCCACATAAACTCTGCAAGGTAAGACTCCAGATGATGGCGAGCCGTGCCTCGTTGTTTTTTGTTGCGCCACTTAGCGGAGCCCCACAGTCTTTCAATGTTTTGAGTGTACACCCGTTGTTGAATCAACGAAATTATATTTATGGTTTACAGTAAAATGACTGTAACCTGCTCTTTCTAATTCATCCGTCCTGTAAGCTCGCCAACAGTCAGAATAAATTGTTGATTCTTGTTCAATGTGCTCCACGATTTTTGTCATTAGTGTGGTTGATTCTCTATTAGGAACTGGAACGAGAAAACAATCACCAGTTTCTCGGCATATTCTGCCGAATATCCACTGTTGTGGAAGAACCCTTCCAGCGTTGCTTTTTCGCCTTGTGAAAAGCGTTTCGTCAATTTCCACGATTTTTCCAGGACCGCCTGTTCGGTTGTTTCAACAAATGTAAAAAACATACCTCCCTCAAAAAACTATTCCAGTCTATAGTTGTTTTGTTGCAAATATTTAGATGTTTTCGACACCACTTTATAGACGTAACTTCCTCCGTCCAATGGTAAATAAATCTTACCGCCGTTAAAAATGGTATCCGTGATCCGCTAAACCAATTATTAGAACGGATGCTTATCATTACATCACAGCTACTTATGGTGCATCTCCAAACGCCTTTAGATATATTTAATTTCATTTCATGCCCATTTTTACATATTCGAGCACTAGGTAAAATACCTTTTTCTTGAAAAAATAATACAGATTCTTCTTCGGTGCGTGGCAAATCGTATAATGAAGACATTTTTTTCTTTCTCACAAAGGTTTGGAAAACACGTGTCTGTTGAAAGGTCAACTGGCCGAGTTAATTTGTTTCGAGGGGATACAAGTACTAGTTGAAATGTTGGTCGCCAGGGCGGCGCCACCATCTGGGATAAAGATTCACAAGTACCGAATGGTGATATAAGACAATAAAAAGTCATAGTTAAAAACAAATTTTTTTAAAGTTGAAAAATAATCTAGATAAAACTTCACTTATATAATTTTTTTTTATTTTATTAGTAATTGTAGCAATCTTTCATTAAATGATGACATACAAAGGGAAGATTTGGAAGAGATGTATCCTGTCCAGGTGTCTTATCCAGGAAGTCCGAATTTTCACTTTTTCAATGTAATATATTGTTATGTTCTATTCAAAAGTTAGTATATGGTTTATATGTTGTTAGTAAATTAATCATTTCTTATCTCAAGTTATTTAATAATAATGTTAAATGCTCTTACATACATCAAATATTTTTCCTTTAGTTTATATTTGTATTCTTAAGTCTACATTCATGTTTTAATTTTATTATTTGTAGTTTAGTTTTTTCATCTACTATGTAGAGCCTATATACATATATATTTCAGTTTCATTTATAATTTTTAGGGATACTTCAAAAGATGTACAGTTCCTTGCACATCGTCGTCGTCTACGGAACAATCTTTGCTACCAAAGCATTGGAAAAAATAAGGAAGATAATGTGCATACTTTAATTCATCTGACAGAGACAATGGTGAACAAACAGCAAAAAGAGGACGAGCTGTATCATTATTGGGTGCGTTTACTTTTTGCTAGCTTCCAAGCTCGCCGAGCTGACACCTAGCACTGCCTGACATCATACTAGCCCGCTGGTAAAAGTATACACAGTAATGGTGG